ACCTTCCTCATGAGCTAATCAAATATATCTTCCATGCTTGATTGTTGGGCTCGAATAGACTAAAAGATGTCAATCTTTAGCCTATATAAAGCCCCCAATTCATCAAACAAGATCATCAATCCATCCTTGAAGCTTAAATTTCAGTTTTTATATTTTATTTTTGCATTCTCTTGAAGTGTTGGAGAAGAAGCCATTTCTCTCCTGTACAATTGGTTCTAGGTATTATTTCTTGTATGTTATTGTATTTCCTTTATCTTAGTTACACTTTTGTAATTAATATGAGCATTAGAGGCTAAGTTCTTAGCTAAGGCTAGGGATGAACTTCTATGCCCACTAGGTGTTTGATAAAAGTTCTAAACCAATAAATTGTGATTTATCCTTTACATTTTGATTGTTTATGACTATGGTGTACAACATAGAAGTATGTTAAACTTAGTTTATGCCTGCAATTAACGTTGAGGTCTAAACTATGAACATTAAAGGATAAACATATATATTACCGAGAATAGAAATATATCCGGTATTATATGATACGGGTGTGATGTCTTGATATTCAACGGGGTTTTCGGTAGATGAATGTAAGCCGTAACGGGACTTACACGTAACGAAAACCACGCTCTCGCTGCCTTAACCGGAGTTGAGAATATATTAGCGACATCGTATTCATAATTGTTGGTAAAGAACTAATATTCAACCCTATTAAAGCATTTAAGTGATTCCCGAAGCTTTAGTTGTTGTTATCAATCACTTTAATCAAATTAATTTAAGTTATATCTCTGAAAATTAAAAAGAAGAACCAAGTTGTTGTTTTCACAACAACACACAACTCAAAATCCCTGCACCTTACTCATTTATTTATTTAAATTCATCTACTCTCGGACTAAATTAAACAACGTTTCCCTGTGGATTCGACCCGGTATTTTACCGGAATTTATTACTATATCGGCACTTGTACACTTGCAAGTTCAAACCGATCAGCTCTACTGGCCGGAAATTACAAAACTTTGAATGAAGGCAGAAGAGGGGAGTACAGATACAGGATTAAATCTATTCTACTGTCCGGGGCCATCTTCGTCGTCATCCTTATCATCATCTTCAGCCTCCTCATCCGCAGCCTGGTCAGACTCCATCCCCAAAGCCTGTCTGCACTTGCCCAACTGGGCCTTTAGAGCATTAAGGTGATTGGAAGCTAGATGAGGGAAGTCTGAGGGCTGCACTGATCGGCCTAGAAGCTTCTCAAGAAGGGGAAGGATAGGCTGCAACATATGCTGGCATCCGGCAGAGTAAACCTTCCGAGCAAGGGTTCCAGCCCACTCTTTGGCTACGGGATCCTGATCGAGCATCCGGACCCCCTCTTTTTGGCGTGCCTCCCCGCTCAGTTTCCCCAGATGCCGCCCGAAGATAGCGGGGAGTTGCTCGAGGGCATAATCCTCCTTTAGAGCAGCAAATTCTTTGGAAGCCATGAAATCCTCCCGGACGGAGGAAAGATCCACGCTCACTTCAGGAGGACCGTCCAGGATTTGCGAAGGCGCCTCCTTGAATTTGATTTGTGTGGCCTCAGCAGCCGCAATCTTCGCCTGGAGGGTAGCCACCTGAACACGGAGCTCCCCCAGCCCGGCCTCGAGTTTCTTCCGCTCCTTAGCGAAAGAGAGGCGTTCAGACTCGGCCGCCTGCACAGCTTTAGAAACGACATGTTTGGCATTTTCTTGGGCCACGAGCAGCTCACGCTCTTTAGCCAGCCGAGCCTCTCGCACTTGCAGGTTGTACAGCCCCATCTGGAGCGTTGAAGAATAGTTAGAAAACTCATCACGTGATTTAAGAAAAATTACACAATGGATATCACAGGAAAGGAAAATACCTTAAGAGCAGTCAAAGCAAGACATTCCTCCGTACGCTCCACTGGAAGCTAAGTGAGCGGGAGGCCATTGAAGAAAGTCGGAGTGGACCAAAGCCGGGATGTTGTTGCTCCACTGCGCTCCAGAATTTCATGAGCAGGATCTTCCAAAGAAATCCACTCGATCCGCCCCACCAGGTCACCCTGATGGGCCTCTGCACTGGAACCCGGAGCAAAGCTAAAGTGCCCGAGGAACTCCTGTAACTGCTCAGGACCGAACAGGTTGTCCATGAACATGTCAACCATGTTAAGCATGTTCGGGGGCGACTTGATGAATGGGCTAAACGTCCTGAATGGACTAGGATGAGACGTCCTGAACGGGCTGAGATTGTTCCATGCCCTGCGAAACGGCCTCAGAAGATCCTGCCTGAACGGTCTTCTTCGACCTCTTCCGCTTCTTTCTTTGTTCATCAGCAAGCTTTTGTTGTGGCTCCTTATCACCACCACCTACAGAAAACAGCCTACTGTCATCCATAACCTCTGCGGGATGGTTGGCTTCTTCGGGATCTGGAGTTGCGTCTGGGTTGAGAGCTGAAAAAGCAAAGAAAAAGTTTAGTACCGAGCGGTTCCAACGTGGATGAACAAAGTGTTTCTCACACGGGAAGGACCGCCCGGGCCATGGCACTTGGGTTTCAATCAAGTATATCCAGGGATACGGGCAGTACCTATCCCGGCCTTGATAAGCCGATCAGGGGTCAAGTAGGCCCTGATCTTGTAAGAGCCACCCTACTCCACAGCAATGATAGCCTTGTTAAGATCCTCATAGATGAACGGCTCAGGAGACTTTGGAGGGAAAGCATTCCATTGCCTTGGAATCAAACCGTCCGGGACGGAGACATAGAAGAACCGATCTTTCCATCCCTTGATTGAGGAAGGGGCATCGGAGAACAGAATATGCCCCGTTCGGGCACTTACCACCAAAAACCCACGAGCCTGCTGGGGAATGACCGAGAAAAAATAGTGGAAGAGATCTAGGGTGGGTGTCACCTTAACATTCACACAGCGGCAGATGAAACCGGCCATGGCCCGATAGGAATTCGACATAATTTGAGCCTGCACCACTTTGTGAAAATTTAATAAAGAAACAAAAAAGGGGTGGAGCGGGAATCTAAGACCGGCTTTCACCGAGTCGAAATGGACTACCACCATCCCGGGGAAATGACGCATTGGGTGGAGCCCAGCTTGGAAGCGGAAGTCCACCGGGTCAGGAATTAGGACTGGAATTTTGGCCCTATTCTGGACCGTGAGTTTCTACCGCCTGAACCTAATAAGTACTAGGTCAAGTTTATGGCGTGGAACGTCACCCGGAGGACCAGCCTCCATAATGTCTAGCTCATCACTAGATTTGGTACCATCGGAATAGGTATTGGAAGAGGAGGCGTCATCACCAGGAACCTCCGCGTGTGCGTTAGTATTTTCCGCCGCAGCATCTTGGGCCTCCCCTTGGAGTACAGACCCAGAGGTAGAAGGATCGGGAGAACGTAGGCGAGGTGCCATACTTACCGAACAAGAAGACAGAAGAGATGAAGTGAAACCGGGAAGTATCTGAACAAGAACCGCTAGAGAGCACCTAGAGAGAAGGCAGAGCAAAGGAACGAAGAGATTCAAAATTTGGAAACCCGGAACCGAAACCATAAGAGTTTATTTATAACCTAACAGCATCGGTTCGTCAACCAATCAGGGGAGGACACGGCACTAAGAATGATTACAGGGACACGTGTCACGCGGAGAGACACCAACAAGTAATCATGACGATTATCGGGAAATTGAAACGGCAGCCGCAGAAAACCGTCAAGATTATGCCTCGGGAACTGGCGAAATCCCGTCCGCTACATACCCGAGCAGCGTTCGGGAAATATTCTTCTACTTCCTTATGCACTCACTATTGTTCGAGACATAGGAAGTGGGGGACTCGTGTTGGGGTATTGGGCCCAAGCCCAATACACCCGGCCTAAAGCATAAAGAAGGCTCATGGAAAACAGGAAGCCTAACGGAATAAGAAAGGTCCAAGACGTCCCGAACGGGTGATACCTGAACAGCATTCGGGTAGAATTATCCACTTGAACTAATTAAACAGGGGACTGGCATCAAAATACCCACAAAGGGGTCCCGCACTCCGAACGGGGTACCCGACCGGGGGATCAGCAAATGGCAAACTGCAGTTAATGCTAAAGTATGGCGGCAGCAAGTAGAGGTATGGGTGCACTTCGTGGCAGAGGTAACAGCCTACCTGGTTCGGCCACGTCCATCTCACCTATCCCCCTTCTAATATAAATACCAGCGTTGAATACATTGTAAAAGGTTAGCAATTTCATACTCAGAGACTCGGAGCTACCGTTCGGGCAGTTTCAGTGTAATCACAAGATTACATAATACAAGTTAGCTTCTGAGTTAAACCTTAATTCAGTGTTTTATATGTTAAACACCTTTTAACCGAGACAAAGATCCTCAATATCCAAAGCGTGTGTTGGGCTTTCGGATCTATGGACTAAACCTCAACACACTTGTTTGGGAGAGAAATTAAAAAAAAAAAGTTGAAGTGTTAGTAAGTGTTTAAGAGTGTTAAGGAAAACCTTCCCAACCCTTCAATAGATAGCTTTTTTTAACACCCCAAATTGGGGCGTAGGGAAGTGTTGGACACGTCCTGCCCTTCAACAACATGGAAAGCTGGGTTCACATATTACATCTGTAGTATACGTAGATTCACACTTCACCCAGCTCTTCCCACATCCATTCCAACTGAAATGGCATTAGGATTTAGGAGGAGCTGCTCCACAAATAGGAGTTGCGGCCGCTGCACCCGTCAACATGCGTCGCAGGACTGCAGGCGGCGACAGTTCTGCCGGATTTGGCAGCAACAGTTCTGCTAGAGCTGGCAGCGGTAATACATCGATGATGCTCTGGGGTTGATGATTTCGCCCAATTTCGTACTGGTCATAATCATTGGCTTGCTTTATTGCATTTGTTGGTGTTCTTCATGCCATGGGAAAACTGGATTTTTTGCCATGCCAAACAGGCCGTTAACGTTTGTGAAATTATATTTTTACTTGCTTTTTAAGTTGATGTAGGACGGGAGGTGGGGTGGGGGGGGGGGTTAGGCCTCAATGGAATTGGACCAATCAAATTCAACGATTAACCGAGCAGTCGAGCACATGGTATGATGGACTGATGGTATAAGAAACTCATCCCTTATTCATTGGAATGGAATTTGTCACTATACCCAACTAATGTTGCACTAGAAATCTATTAATACAACAATAATAATAGTAAAAGGGTTTGGTAAAGAAATGGAAAGCAAGCAATCAAAACTGTACAGCTGTACAGCTGTGTGTGTAGGCAGGCAATCAATCAGTGGCCAACCAGGCATCCTTTACCCTCCATGCCAAAGAAAATCCAAGCTCTAAATGTGAAACCCAGTATCTGCCACACACAAATGAGCACACAAGACTTTAAGAATGATGCACAAATTCACACCTACCTTGTTCAAGAGCGCTTCTCCCTCACGTCAGATGCTGTGACTCACTAGAACGAAATAGACTTCTTGCACTCGTGTACACTAAAAGAATGAAGAAAATAATCCACCAACCTCAATTGAGCTGTAGATATGACTATATGAGGATAATGGATAACACTGACAAGCAGATCCTCTTGATTTGAAACATTTACAACTTGTTTACCTGCTACGCCCAACCGTAAAATTATTACAGCCATGAATATCAACAACCAACTAACCCCCCCCCCCCCCCCAAAAGAAAACGAGAGCACAAATGACTGCTATAATAATTTTTTTAGTATCAGCACCTCTCTTAAGGCATTAAGTGCTACTACTGCTATCACAGCAGTTGAAGCTACAGTATGTAAAAGCCAACAGATGTTTGACGAAGCACCTTGGGACTTCGATCAATGCCATGAGAAGCCACCTGGAAAGGTTTACAATAAAATTATAAGATCTTATGCCTTATCGCCTAGGCGACAAGTCTCACCATTGTGTAATACTTAAATATAATATATAGACATTTATATTATATTACTTAAATTACTCGTATACTTATAAATAATATATATACTTAAATTACTCCCTCTGTCCGGCTAAGATGGTCCATCTTTCCTTTTTGGTCCGTCCAACTAAGATTGTCCCATACAAAATTTGGTAAAATTTATGTGATTCTAAATCGTTCTTACTTTATTAATTCAATATCAACCACATAAACCCACTTTTCTTAATAACTGCATCACCTCCTCATGTCCCAATCGATAACCAGTGGGCCGTCTTGTGACGGCTCAAAGGACTAAATGTCGCATATTTCCGGTTGGGTCGGAAAAACTAGATCTGGCGATGCCATAATGGATGACGACGCCTAATTGTCGCCGCAATGCCTAGGAGGCTTCAGGCGAGTCGAATGAGCATGGCAGCTCCCCTCCATCGCCAGAACGCCTAGTCAGTGCCTAGGTGATGCCGTGATAACACTGGTAGCAAGCAACTTTCACCACATAATCATCACCGCTACATTTGATGTTGGTGAGTCAGACAGAAACTAATTCTGGGGAAGGAGACACATTGGGGGTAACAAAAGTCAAGTATTTAAATGCTCTGAAAAAAGTATAATTTCTTTTTTCTGAAAAGAAATATATCCCCTGCAGTCCACAAGAACAACAAAAATTTTCATTCAACCTCTTCCATATTCCATATTACATGCAAACAGAAACTCAGTATAGAGGTTTTAAGATACCATGTGTGTTAGATCTGCATAGCGCTCCTCATTCAGATACAAAGGCTTCCCCCTCTGCATCTCAATGTCCTACATTACACAATGTCAGGAAAAGAAAAAAATTGACATCATTACTGATGAGAATCCCTTCAGAACAAACCTAGAACCATATCATATTATGAGAAATAGATATGATACTAAGGCTAGCTTTACCTCTTCACCAAATGCATCCAAGTAAGGGGAATGCCATAATGCTTGACGAGCAGATCGTTGAAGCAAGATTTTAGTTTTCTACCATGAGATCAAGAAGTGCCATCGGATGTTATTTTAACTACTATATTGTATGTAGTAGGTATGAGCTAAATAATGAACTACAAGAAGAGACCAAAAAACTCACTCGAATTAACAAGAACACCCCAGTACCAGCACCACAAGCAAATGCATGAGTTTGGCAAATGTTTTTCCTTGAGATTAGAACCAATCATTATGTCACACTTTAGTTAAAAGAGAACAGAAACTAAAACCAACACACAAAAATGTGTAGAAACCTGCAGCACGTTCGCCAAGAAGGTGAGCATAATTTACCACAAAGCAGGCACAATGCAGGTTCCTCAACAACAGTTCCACAGTCAGGGCAATGCTGCTTAATATACCTTAAAACAGCAGTATGGCAATAACCAGTCATATCTTACAATGAAAGAGATTAAATACTTCACCAGGCGGCGTATCTCAGCTGGTGGGAAGAGGGTGTCACAAGGGAGAGGTTCCAGGTTCAATTCCAGGCAAAGTCCTGGTCTGGAACCCCACTCTCTCTCCACCAGATTGTGATCAAAGCTCAATTAACATCCTCCTAGATATGTGTCCGGCTGGCCCTGGCCCCTTAGGGACAGGGTATCATCCTTTGTTTAGAGAATAAATACTCATGTTTTTGAAGAACACTAACCTTCGCAACAAATCTTGATAAAGATGAGGTAAACTCATTAATCTAAATGGAACAGCAGGGGTGGAAAGCAAGACACCCTGTCGATTATGTTCTTGAAACTCCTTGGAAAGGCACAAGAACCATCTTGGAACTACAAACCGTAAAACCTCATCATTAAAAATAACATCAAGGGGTGGAATTTTAAACATCTTTTCCAACTTTTCTATTTCAAAGAGTTCCTCTCCATAAACATCAACGGTTTGCATCATCTCATCGGTTGAATAGGATAATTCATCTGATATGAATGAACCTTCACTAAATGGAATCAAGGTTGAATAATGAACTAATTTCCATAATAGTGCACATCTTCGTAAATATGGAAAGCTCAGGCTACGAATTGCCTCCTTGATATCACAAGAAGTTTCGATATAATTAGAATCAAAATAATCGCCAGCAGCTCTATGATCTTGCATAACTTTGCAAACATCTGTAATCAGGTTATCATATTCCCCTAATTCACTCAAACTGTATTGCCTCTTTTTGCAGTATGTTGCTATTCCCTGCAACCAAAATAAAATATGTCACACCGGCACCAACTAAGGGAATAAATCTTTACAGATTATTCAATGTTCAGAAGAATAAAAACTTCATGTGACCTGACTGATGGTGACAGCATAAAAAAGATGAACAATAGATAAAAAGGTGCCCTCGCATGAAAGAACAGGGCAAGGAAGACAATAAATTGTCCACATCAATGATGAAAAAGCGTCGTGTGCAAGGATAGGATTGGAAGCCTGGTTCCAGAACTGGATATCAGGATACTGAACTTCTATATCAGAAAGTTCCAAGATTTCTTGTATATTGCCTGTAAAGTATATTTCGAAATTGTACTTTAGGAAAAAATCTCTTGTTTTCAGAATCGGCTTAATAAAATATCCTCTATCTTGAAATATAAGAATGACCTGACCCTGGAGCTGTACCTCTGTATTTGTTGCTTGTAGTTTCACTTGCCAAAGTGCTTGAGCATATAGATGCTGCTAAAAGCTGGATGCCTCTTAATCTTAGAAGAACATCAAGTGAGTTCTTTGTTCTTGTGTTATTTACATTACATAGCAACAAAGATAATATAAAACCATTGGAAGACTTGAGCTCCTTATAAAGAGCACCAAGGGTGCAGTTTGACGTCAATGAGGTCTTCCTGGACCGAGCAGCAATTTCAATTGACATAATGGAGTGCTTGAGTGTGTCATACAAAATTATTGAAGGGCTTAGCCTATCTGATTTAAAAATCTTGTCGCTCCCAGGATAATGCATTCCACCAATTACACGGGTAATGGATTCAAGATTTGATCTTAGCCTTCCGCGTTGCAGTGGGAGCTCTCTGAGAACCTCACTCTTACCAGCAACATCAGCCACACTCAGCAGGAGGGATACGGCTTCCTTAACATGCAGTGAATCTGCCACTCCACTTGATGAGGTTAAGCAGCTATTAGGATCAAATATATAACGAGAAGAATCACCTGGTGGTGCCAGTTTCACATCATTGGGCAGTTCTGGAAGAACTGCATTTGCAAGCCCACGACAAACAGGACAGAGGAACTCCCCCTGGTAACAAACAGGATATCACATCATTGAAGCTTGAATCAAGAGGTCAGTGGTTTAAAGAGAAGATGGTACCTGATCCAGATCAACAATATGACCACCTTCAAAAACAACTCTTTTTGTATATCTGCATAGCAGTTAAGAAATATTTTGATGATGACTATGATATACAGATACAGAAACATGAAAACCATACATGACTAACATGAGAAAAGAGAAATGGAGAAATGCCACTTTCTAAAAATGTAGGACAAAGAACGGGGTTAGAAGGCTATGAAAACGTTGGAATATTAAAAAAAAATCTACATGCATATATTTACAGATAAGGTGTGTGCAGATACAAACTGAGAAGTTCACTAAATACCCACAAACAAGAAATAATAGTGCTAAACACACCAATTTAAAAACTTTTAAGTTTTATGCATGACACAGTTTTCAAGTTTCATAATTTGTGGAAATAGCCCCAAAGTTTTTGGCTTCCAAACTGTTGTTGGAAGAGGGGGAAAGCCGCTGCTAGAAGTTTTGATGCAACATAGGATGATGATATCAGAAAATGATACATTTGAAGTTCCAAAGAAATCTGTGGTCATTGATGAAATTTTTACCTTTCCTTGAGTGATTGTAAATAGCGATCCAAACACCCTTGATGCACAGCATGCCCACAGGAAGAAAGATAGATCCCATCACAATCTGAGGGTCCAAATACATCATATGCTGCAAACTGCTTCTTAGCTTCAGATACTGTTTTGTATTCATTTCCTGATCCAGAAGGATTATCCCGTGTTTCTCTAAAAAGTGCAGCAACGTATTTCCCAAGCACTAATGATTCGTAATTTTCACTGCAGTCCAAACACTCATGAGTAGAAGACGATCTTTTGTTACTCCATGTATATTCTAAACTAGCCAAACTGGTGTGCATTCTTTCCTGAGCCAACGAGTACACGTACTCATCAAATGACTGAAAACCATCTGTTTTTTTAACATTTTCATTTGCAATACTCACAGTACAAGGAAGCTTAATGCTATTCATTGTAGGAAAGTGAAACTTGATAAATCCCACTAACATTTCTACTTCTTTAGGATGCCCTCCTAAAGCAAAACCATCGACTGCATTTTGAACTAAACCTGTTGAGTGAAATGATGATATCATGTCTAAACTGCTTGAAACATTTCTTTTTGGAGAAACATTTTCTTTATCTCCTACAGTAAACATTGGCTCCTTTCCCGAGCGGTGAGTTTGTTCCCACAACGGAGGCCCTTTGTCCACAAGACTTAGAAGCTTGGATTTCTGGTTTGAAAAATAAAGAGCAGTTCAGTGCAAAACTACAATGGATTACCCAGTTTAGTTTAGTTAGTTTAGTTTAGTTTAATTAAGATAGAAAACGCATCAAGATTGCCAGTTTGTTATCCACCTGAAGATGGATTAGGTATGATAGGGGACTTTTAGAGGTTGAACCATGGCAGAGGGAGCAAGTGATTAACATTTCTTCAGAAGTATGTCCTGCCCGAGAACCACATACTTCTTTTCCAACTCTAGCATCATTGTCTTCAGCATCTTCTGTGGAGCCAATGCTTGCCAGAAACATTGATTGCTGAGCCCGCATTTTCTCCTGCAAGTGAGAAAGAAAAAATAGTAGTGAGACCAAGCTCCCAACTGGCATGAAACTGTGATCTGTCAAAAAGGGACCAAAGACACCAAACTTCTGTAGTAGACCAATAGTTCCACACATCCAGTTGCCAAAGTTTACAACTATAAATCTCATGTATTTGAAAAAATATGTCGTACAAAAGGTATATAGAGTTGCAAATTACATGATGAAACATATTACTTTGTGGTACTTCTGAAATGGGGCTGCAGGTAGGAGAACATTCTATTTTTGCCTATTCCTATAGGGGTGCACCCTATACCTCTCTGGAAGAAGAATTTGGAGGGGGGCACAATGAATAAAAGAAACTGCCAGATTTTGGCAGAATTCCAATACTAGTGCCTTAGTGCGGACTATAGTGCTGTTGGTCTGCTGCTTGAAGAAAATTGCTTATTTCAGATTTTGAAAGTGTCCCAGCTACTTTCCTTATATTTCCTAATGTCTAGTATTTCAACTAGTTTTCTTTTCCCCCGGCTGAAATGTGTGTGAAAATTCTCTCGACAGGTGTGATGATTTAATAACAATTTATTAATTTAGTATTTTTTACTAAAAAGATAAGTATATATATTATATACTATATAATTTGTTGGCCATTTAGTAGTTTTAATTGGAATGACAAAAGTGCATAATTATTGCATAAATTGATGCTCCATACTATCATTTGAATTTTGAAATTGTGATTTTAATGTGATTTCGAACACCCAAAATGTAAGCGATAGATCCGCCACTGCAAAGGACTCAATTATCGAATTTTAAAAAAAAACGTTTACGCAACCCAACTCCCCAAGCGACGTACCTGAGTGACGACCAGACTCCAATAGCGACTCACCTTCTTCTTCTTCTTCAGTTAATCAGTTCTATAAAAAGGCTGGGGGGTGTCGCACTATAATAGTGTACTCATCTCTGTCCATCTCCAGTTCTCCGTTTAATATTTTTTCAAATAACCGCATAGAGTTCTCTTCGTTCCTCTCTGTTCAACAAACTTTATTCTCTGCTAACGTTGCTCGTTTGGAAATATCTACTAAAAATACTGATCAAGTTCCTCAAACTTCATCAGATAGTGCTTCTGTCCAGGTTGCTCAGTTCAGCAATTCTGAAAATCAATCCTATAGAGGCAGAGGTCGTGGAAACTTTGGCAGAGATCGTGGAGGTCACTCTGGTGGAAGAAGTTCTGCAGTTTGTCAAGTTTGTGGAAAAACTGGTCATCATGCACTCATCTGCTACCATCGCTATAATCCAGCCTACTATGTTACCAATACCTCTTCTCCACATCAATGGAATCAGTACTCACAGCACTCACAGTTCCCCAATTCATCACCTACCTCACAATCACAAAGGCCACCTTCCCATAATTCAAACTCTTTTGCTCCAAATCTTCCCAGTTCAAACCTTACTGGTCCACCTTTACAGTTTTTCAACTGGCAACAACAACCTCAGAATAACTGGAATCAGCAAACCTACAATCCTTCACCCAGTGCTGCTTAGGCCTGTGCTACTCCATCTGTCTTAGGACCTGCACCACAAACTCAAACCTGATTCCCTGACTCTAGTGCTACACATCATGTTACTTCGGATCCTCTCAATCTCCAACATAGTGAGACGCTTGCTACTACTGATAAGCTTTTTATGGGTAATGGTCAAGGTGTGGATATTAAGTCTATTGGTTTTTCTAAGTTTCCTTCACCCTATCAATCATCTCTATATTAATCATATTCTTCATGTTCCTTCTATTACTAAAAATCTTCTCAGTGTTAGCCAGTTTGCTAAAGACAACAATGTCTTTTTTGAATTCATACTTATCATTGCTTTGTCAAATCACAGGTTTCTAAGCAGGTCCTTTTACATGGTTCCCTGGGAGAAGATGGTCTTTACAAGTTTGAGTCAATCACAACCCTTAGTCTACACCAATCTGCTGCACCAGTTCAATTTGCCCTTGTTTCATCATCATCATCTACTTCTGTTTTGTCTCCTTGTAATAATTCAAAGTCTTGTAATGTTTCTCAAACATGTAATCTGTGGCATTTAAGACTAAGTCATCCCCATTTTGAGGCTTTGAAATCTATTCTTCAGCAATGTTATATTCCTTACATGAATAAAAGCACTGTTGATTTTTGTTCAACATGTTGTCTTGGTAAAGCTCACAGATTACCATCTCTTCCTTCAACTACTGTTTTCAATTCTCCCTTTGAACTTGTGTTTACTGTGATCTGTGGGGACCTGCTCCTATTACATCATTTGATGGTTATACCTATTACATATTTACATCTCATTTATAGATGCTTACACTACATACACATGGATACATTTTCTCAAGAGAAAGTCTGATGCTCTTCTTGCCTTTACCAATTTTCATCAATAGATTCTTAATCAATTCTCTGTTTCTATTAAATCCATACAATCTGATTGGGGTGGTGAGTTTAGATCCTTCACTAAACTACTTTCTGAAAAAGGAATCACTCACAGAACTATTTGCCCTCATACACACCATCAAAATGGTGTTGTTGAACGCAAGCACCGTACAATTGTTGAAAAGGGTCCGTCTCTTCTTGCTCACTCATCCATTCCTCTCAAATTCTGGGATGCAGCTTTTGCAACCTCTGTTCATCTCATCAACAGAACCCCTTCCAAATCCATATGTAATTCTAGTCCCTATCTTAAGCTCTATGGCCATAATCCAGACTACTCCTTTTTAAAGGTGTTTGGTTGCTCCTGCTTTCCTTTCATTCGTCACTATAATAAACACAAAATAGACTTTCATTCTGAAGAATGTGTGTTTATAGGCAATTCCTCCAATCACAAAGGATATAAATGCCTATCACCATCTGGCAAGATATATCTTTCTCTCGAGATGTCATCTTTCAGGAATCTAAGTTTCCTTATTCCACACTTTTTCTTCCTTCTCAGCAACGACTTGTTTCCAATCCTATTTCTGCACCGTTAACTATTCTTCATCATAAACATCAACCATCCTTCACAACCTCATCATCCTCTTCTCCAAACCAATCATCTTCTTCAGCCCCAACTGATTCATCCAAATCTGACTCCAATAATCCTGATGCATCCCAATCTGTCTCTTTACATACTAACAATCATGAATCCTTATCAGTCTTCTTCTTCTCTAGATGTTTCTCCATCCCATCATGAGTCTATCAATCTTCTCCCTCTACAGTCCCTTTAGTTCCTCTAACCAATACTCACCCTATGAGAACTAGGGCCAAGCAAGGTAGTCAAAAGCGCTCGACCCAGCGCTTAAGCGCACCAGGTGCAGCGAGCAGGGCCTTCAGCGCTTGGGAGAAGGGGAGGCGCACGTACCTGGGTCAGGCGCAGCATAAGCGCATTAAGCGCATGAAGCGCTGAAGCGGAAAAGGCGCACGCCTGGGTCGCCTGATCTGGAAAAGGCTGACATGCCTTATTTTTTTGTTTAAAACTTTAAAAAATAATTAGCCCATATCTTTAATAACACTCAGCCCATCTAAATAATAGGGTAAAACCATTTAAACCTACGTAAAACCTTTAAGTAAAGTAGGTAAAAACATAAAACCTTGTGTAAAACCTTTAAGTTATATCGCTAGCCATCATCGGCTCTTCAGCGTACTCACTCTTCTCACTCAAGTTGCTCTACACCAGCCAGTTCTTTCTTTTTTCTTAATCATCTTAAGCCAACTCAGTTCTCCCTCACACCACTAAAAAAGATATGTGCTCTTATAGTATATTTCTATGTATATAATAAAGTACTAGTATACTATATTACTATGTATATACTAAAAAAGATATGTGCTCTTATATAATAAAGATATGTGCTATTATATTACTATGTATATAATACTCTATATTACTCATAATAATGTATTAATACTCTGCATTACTCTATATTACTCACAGCACTAGTATATTGTTATGTATATAACAATGTAATAGTACTCAGTATTACTCTATATCACCCACAACATTAGTATATTGCTTTGTATATAATAGTCATAATACTCTGTATTACTTTATGTTACTCACAACATTAGTATATTGCTATGTTATTAATAAAGTAATAGTACTATGTAGGCTCACAAGTTTAACAAGGGGAAATAGGCTCCAATTTGATTGTCTTTCATTTATAGTTTTAGTATTAAAGCCATAAATTCTGAATTTGGTGTTTTATTTTTTGTGAATCATGACTTTATTTTGGTGAATCCTGAATTTTATAAGCATTTGGTTCAATATGATGTTACATACGAAGTACATCATATTTGGTAAGTATAGAATAGTATATGTGATTTTATCTAAGTAATGCGCTTCACCCGAGTCAGGCGAGCGCTTTTTTGCGCCTTGCGCCTCAGGCGCTAGAAGACCCCTAGCGCTTCAGGTGCGCCTTTCGACTTTGACTACCTAGGGGCCAAGTCTGGAATAGTAAAACCTAGACTTAATCCCACTTTACTATTAACTCCTACTGAGCCTAAATCAGTCAAGCAAGCTCTATCTTCACCTCAATGGTTTGGTGCATGCGTCACTGTTTAACTAGGTCAAGAAATGTAGGCATTAGGCAATAAGTAGGTTTGTTCTGCAATAAGTAGGCTTGTTCTAAACTTATACCTAGATAAGGCAGGTTCTAAAATAATAAAATCTGGCTCTGAAAAGACAGAACCAGTCTCTCACACTGCAGCACAAGCAGTGAAACAATATAATCGAATCAGGGGATAAAAAATATGAATTTAAGTATTGCACCCACAAATAAAATAGGTGCTTGCACCTAAAAGAGCTGGCAAATCTAACTTTTGGTCACTGATTTCAAAGCATAGCATCTTACCAGTATAGCAGCTTGTCTCTCTCGAGCTTTAGCCTTGCGCTTGTCACTATCCGAAAGTGACCCCGAGTCATTACCATTACCACCAGGAAAAGACTGCAAGAACTGAATGGTTATTTCAGGTGAAAGGCTTTGGAGTTTGGTCATGCACCCAGGTTCAAGTTCCACAAACTTCTTCAGCAAACTCTCAACCAAAGATGAAAGGTTTAAGCTACCAGTTTCCATTAAATCATTCACTCTCTGGTATTTCCTCATCAGTAAAACAAGAAGAGACAGCAAGCTCTGGTCACCATATTTACTCATTGGAACGTCTTCACAAGCATGTGCCAAAAGGGGAAACACACCACCACCGTAACAAGGATGGCCATTAGACCCCTTATGTGCGTAGCAAATATCCAAAGCTAGTGACAGTAAATGCAGCACAGTTAAAAGAACATCATCAGGAGCACGTGACCGATTTGATTTACTCGGGAAAACAGCATAAGCTAGACTAGCGCGGATAATTTGAAGGGTTGCCCTACAAGTTGCTATTTGTGCAATCCCACAAAGAGGAGGATATATCTTTGTCCATTTTGGTAGCTGAGTGGTTAACGCAGATACATTACAGAACTGCATATATCTTTCTTCTGAAACTTGTAAGTCTCTTGAATTCCAACGAGGATGATACAAATCAAGTTCTTTCCAATATGGCAACCGCAATTTATACATTCCCTGCATCAGGAAAGACAAAACGAAAACATTGTTCAGGTCACTCAGGCTCGGCATAAATAATCAAACCCTTTCATAGTTTCATCTTAAGGGTCTCCCAATCAAATGAGGCCTCAAAACTGAAACCAACCTGATTTGTGCCAGAGGGATTAGAATACACAGCTATGGAATCTAAAACTTCCTGAAGTTTATCACTCTTTGATAGATCACGAGGAAGAGACTGCACCAATTGACTGCGAGTAGCATCTCCAGTGGATAGCCGATATAACAATTCTCTTTGCAAACACTCCTGGCTAGATAACCCACAGAACCGACGTTCTTTAACTATTTGTATAATAAGAATCAGCATTTCTTGCACCAAAGTGGGCTCATACCTGTAAAGTGTTATTAGAGTAGTAGGAATTTCATAAATTGCCTCAATAACAATGGCAATAAGAATGAAAGAAAAAAAGAAGCAGCTGAGAAGTATGTAAGCATTGATTTCAGCTGTCCTATGTACAATAATGTATGAAAATCTGAACACTCGAAATATATCTTGAAACTAACTCAGAAGATACCTAGGAAAGACATTATTTAGGTGCAAATGTACAAGAAATTTCAAATTTTCATCAAAATGCCCATCCATTTGTGCTTCTCTGTGTGTTCAGACACATAGAGGATCAGGAATGGAATGCTTTAAAGTTTAAAAACAAATAGTTTGAGAAGAAATGAGAAGTCAGAGGAAAAAAAAATTGGATACATCACGCAACCTTTTTAGTTTGGTAATAAACTAATAATAGAACCTTCACTCTTCTATTCTTTCTGAAAAATGAAAATATCATTGACCACCCATGTCTTATGCCATAATATCACCCACACCCATACAAAATATAATAATAAAAAAGTTTAAAATTGATCACGTTTATAAACTTATTCACTTCAATTTAGAGTTTTAAACTATAGTTAAATAGAATAAGTGAAGTTTTTTATTACTCTAATAAAATTTTATTATAATTGTATGTTAAAATTACTATTATACGTAGTAATTCATACATGAATGCAGATTAATACATGAAAGCAAATAGACAGAGGTGAATTTGGAGATACATAGAGAGTAGTACTCTTATACACCAGTAGTAATAAGAAGTAAGAACAAGTCCTACCCACTTATTCATATGTTGTATATACAGGGTATCAATTGTTTGAAATTGTGAACAATAAAAAATGATCATTGTTGGCTTCAATATTTAAATATAAACCTTTACTAATTCTGACCTCTGTCCTAGTAAACTTTGCCAACTTTACTTAATCGGCTTTCCCAAAAACCTCGCCAATTTCCTTGTGACAAATTTATAGCCAATATAATTTCTCTCTCTTCTGCACAAATCTCAACCACGCAATTTTTACTTATTCCACATGCCAATCAGCGTTGGGAACATTTTATGGGACGGATGAAGTTTTATTTTAGATCATCATCATCATTATCATTACCCCAGTGCCGCAAAGGCTCCCACCTACGGTGGTTTAAGGGGGGGTCGGATGTATGCAGTCTTACCCCTATACTAAAGCACAGAGAAAATCACGTCAAAAATCGCATGGACTGACTGCTGCTCCATAACAAGAAGCGCAGACAGTTTATTGAGCCACTTTGCTTTATTACATCATATTCTTGAGCCAAAAAATAGTGAGTCTTTGGGTCCATTGAAAATGATGGAAAATGAAGTTTTGTTCTAGATAAGTTCCAAATTTAATATTTTGCATTTGATAAAACTATTATGTATTTCAATATTTTAATATATATATATATATATATATATGCTTCAGTTAATGAAATAAATTATGATTTTTTTTTAAAATAATGTGATTCATTATATTTGGAAGATAGGACATAAAACAATTATTCTGCTAATTTAAGTTTATGTGTTTAGTTTGTCATTATTTTTTATTTGTTGTTTTACATGACATGAGGGTTTACTGCATTACAAAACATTGCTAATCAGGGTATTACCATATTAGTCAAAGACACACAATTCTATCTTATGTCTAATCCATCATATAAACCACCATACGGTAAGTGCTTATTTATGAAACAGTAGGGGTGTGGGTGATTTAACGACAAGTTTCAGAGAGGTCTATAATGCATTCCCTTTGAAAAGTAAAACTCTTACAAAGTACGATATTATACCAGATCTAAATATTAAACGATTAAATCATTGCAATTTCCTTAAATAAATATGTCTTTAATACGTAAAGTAGTTATATGTTATGACATTTAGGTTTAAAATGCTAGAAAATTTTAGGGTACAGAGAGGTAAGCATTGCTCTGGTACTAGGACAAGGAAGAACAAGAATATAATTAACTTTGGACCCACAACTAAAAAGTCATTTTTAATCTTGGTACTCAGCTTTCATTTTTCATATTTTTGGAAGTACGGTACACAAGTACAGATTTCATGTCACATTTGGTCCTTATGATTCCATATCCTTAAATGGTTGGGAGGATCAAAGTCGTAAGAAATCCATAGTCAGACTAAAGGTACAAAAAATGAGAGTCAGGCTATATGTTCTGACTAACAGAGATATATTTTCATTACACAGTTAAGAAAGAGATAATTAAGATTCAAGAGTCATGTCCCCATTCAGAAGCATAAGAGAAGAAATGAACATACTCACTAGACTGTTCGAAATTCAACGAGAGGTAATTTGATAGCTCAAAACGTTCTACAACTCTCTTGACAAAAAGATCAGCAGGAGCAAGGGACGCACAACATTGAAGCATAAAGAGATCAAGCTCTAAACCTTGTTCAAACCTGCATGATGGAACCAATAAAAGTAATCGACATAAACACAAGAAAAGAAAAGCAAGCAAAACAATACTGCTAGTTCTTCAATGAATGCAAGCATATCAAGGATCAAAATGAAAAAATTCCATACCACCGCACAGAGCGGTACCATTCAAATGAAAGAATAGCACCATCACCATTCTTACGCCACATTCCAGCATGTACTTGGGCGCAAAACACCCTAATCCGAAGAGGATGCTCCATAGCCAATGACGAGAATCCATGTGGATGGCAACCTCCCAAAACATAGCCAAAAAAATCATGATGTGTGGGGAATGATGCAGCAGCACTTTCACCATAACAATTTTCTAGTGCCCTTTGTATAATCATAGAAAGTAGTCGGTGCAATGGAATGTGAACAGATATATCTTGCACACTAACAGCATATGTAATATCTCGCCAATCAGACAAACTTAGCACATGGAGGGCTTCTAACTCAGGGGCATAATCTTGATCACGTTTACTGTCATTAGAACCATCAGTGGCAACGTCGTGTTCCAAAATTTGACCGTCCAGGTTACCACAGTAACTATGAGAATGATGTTTACTTGCAATTTTATTGTTATCACCTAAAGGGGAATCGTATAATTTAAGAACGTGCTTTGCATTTCTAAACTTGGAATGTGTTCTCTTCAATACAAAGTAACTATTGCCAGAACTAAGACTAGTATTTTGAGATAGGAGGTAGAGGAGTTTCCCTGATGCATCATCTACTCCTAACCAGATTTCTATAGCCCTTAAACACTCAAAAGCTAACCCTGAAACAGATGGTGGAAATGGATAATTATCAACTTTTATTTCAGTGGCGCTAGATGCATGATCAAATGAGCTACGACTTGTCATACTACTAACAGAAGCTTCTTGTGATAACCTTCCAACTTTGGCATGCCTCTGGCTATCATGCTCTTCAATATCTGGTTCGCATGAGCTAAGCAAATTATCCTCTTCCGTCTCATTACATGTGGAGAATGCACCACCCACTAAAAGAGAAAGAATGTTTCCAATGAAACGACCCAAAACAAATGGTAAATGCATACTATCATTTTCCACTTCCACATGAATTCCAGTTTCTCTCTTTTGAGGGTTCATTCCTTGCACAAAAGACAGCAGTTTCATCCACACTCTTAGTATATCTTGCCTGTCATGAGTCACATATCTGGTCACAACAGAATGACTCATGACAAATCGGACATCTTCAACAACACGAAGAGTAGTCTCATACAAATGTTCCCATCTCTCAACCTACAAATAATGGATAAGGTCAGACTTTCATCTCCTTAAACACTTACATCTGTTCAAATATACAATAAAGCGAGTGAAAGATTGATTAATAAGATGACCTATATATAAAACACAAGTACGATAGGTCGTTGAGTCGTTGATGGAACCATAAAATATGAATGGTATCTTCAATGAATCAGTGCAACTTTTAAGTAGCAGTGTATGGTAATTGGAACTTTTCCCACCTAGCTAAAGCTAAAACTCTACAACACGGTATGATAGAAACTCTGGTGTGATAAAAAGCAGCTTGTTGGGTCCAGTGCAAGTTAATAATCATTGGAGTATGATTATGAATCCTTTTTTGAAAAAAAAAAATGTATGCATCTATTGCTAGTCATTGCGATTTAATCTTAAACAAAGGTGACTAAAATAAGTTCCATCACGTTTTATAAAACTATGGAAAGTTATGCACTTGCTACCACTCCGTTAATAAACATTAACTGTTTGCTTCCTAGAAAATTAATGCTATCCCCAGGTCGTGCAATCACTGTAACAAATTTATTAGGAAAATTTAGTGCCTGAACCTCAGTTCTTATACATTATACATAATCAAATGATAATTCTCATTCCTTATGCCTAACATAGGGCAACAAACATGTCATCCTATAGAGAATGAAACATCTAAAGTCAGAGGACTACCTGGAAGTAACAAAATATATGCAGTCCTAAACAAGACAATATCAGTCCTCCTAAAGCACATTTAGCATTCAACAACTATGACAGGGGCTTTTATACAATGGAATTATGGTACATCAGGTGCATGTACACACACATGAAACAGAAACAACAATGTGATATTAGAACTTTACTAAATAAACAGAAACTATGGAAACAGATCTTCCTCAGGATGGTACTTAAATCTCATTGCAATACCTGTAATTGACCACGTTCTCCAGAACAAGAAACAAATATGTCTTCTAGACATCCCAAGAGCATAACCAAAAGATTCATTTCCTTCACAAGACGTGGGGTTAGAGTAGGCACTGTAAATATCTGCACAGAGAATGTACATAGCAGCGGATACTTTTTTAAAACTGTATCAGTACAATCTTTTATGGCTTCCTTGACTACAGTTGGATAATAGCTAAGAAATTTTTTTGCAAACTCATATTTAAACCGGGGTTCACCCAACAGTTTCAGTAATAACTCATGAAGCTTGCGGACAGTATCATCATCACTAATTAACCTCTCTGCTCTCACTAGAACTTCTAATAAACCTCCTGAAGAAAACACCTTCTCAGAGATAAAACCAAGTAAACTCTCACTCGAGTTGCAGAATTCCAAGAGCATCTCCACCACAACAGATGTCAGCCCCTCTGCAGGCTTTTTAAGCTCTGTCAGCACCTCTCCAAAAAGCAGTCTTTTCCTCCAACAAGACAGTAAAGAATCCAGGACAGGTCCCAAGGAGTTGGCATAAGCAACTGGAAGTTGTTGTATCTGCTCTGCACCTCTATGCTTCGAGCAGAAACCCTCACGTTTCCAAGCAGTGACATCCCCACAATCACAGCAACCACCACCGGTATATATAATAGAATAGTCATGGTCCTTGTGGTTACCATTCAGGAAACATGGTACACAAATTGCACATGTAGGATCATTTTCACATGTCCGGCAACGATAAGCAATATCATTGTTTCCCCAAACAGACCCACAAACGCCGCGTTGACCAACATTCATACGTGCTAAGTGCTCTAATGCGGTGCATGGTTTGCCCTCAAACATCAGCCATTGTAACCAGACAATGCTTTCATGGAATAAATCTTCAAAACCTGAGCCACTGCTTGCTTTTGGAGATTGTACTGCAGTTTCTTGATCGGCCTTAACTGCTTCATTGTCACTGGGCAAGATAGCTGACACAATCTCAGGAATTTGAGACTTATTGTTTTTTACATAATCAACTAGTCCAGGCTGAAGCCGTTTCAAATTCTCCTTAGGGACTCCAAGTATCTCCAGCCTCTGATAACATGTCAGGAGAGTTCATAAGTCATCCAAATACTCTCTCTCTCTCTCTCTCTTCCAATATATCCAAATCTAGGAACCAGAGCTGTAACTAACTAGAGACTAAAATAGGTTGAAGAGAAGTATTCTTTCTTAGTGCCTAGTTAGTATTTGATTATTGTTAATTGAGTAAGTCTAATAGTGAAATGGAATTAGTTCAGCAAAACGTGTATTGCTTTTAATCTTCACAATTGCAAAAATCTGATTGGAGAAATAGAAAATATTTGGTTGAAAAGTATTACACGTTTTATTGTTTCACTAAATTAGTTACACCTTTCTTACTATACGGATTGATTTCAACCGCCAAAAGTAAGAAGAAAACTCCATTCTTTTGTTTTCATTTAGTGGCAGGTTCTGGCCTACTAGGAATCATTCTACAATCGCAAGCGATGTATTCCCCAAACCAATCATCCACACAGAAGTATTGATCGTATCAAAGATTTTAGTAGAAGCCGTACCTCAAGGATACATAATCGACTGAGAATATTGTCACCGGGGATCAGCGACACTGGAGAATCGATATCCATTATCATTAGCTAATCCAAATGGCGAAATTATAGAAGCGTCCGATTCCTGAGATTTCACTCCCCGGCGTTGAGCCACACTGACACTACCTGTATTTCGGCATCCATGCGCATACTTATATCAAAATGTCAACGCGGAGTACTCGTACTATATGACTCCGTATACGTGTATCAGTGTATGCATATGGCCAGGAATTGGAAGAAAAACGTTGTTAGAATCCCTAACAACAGCAGTACGGCGACTCTAGAGTCTAGACCATCCGATCCATTGAATTCGAGACGAATGGTCTTTTAAGGAATGACAGACACAAATCATTGGTAATGTGATTTTGCATGATAAAAAAAAAAGAGAAAATACATAAATGATCCTTAAATTTTTTTTTTCGAATTAATGTTAATTAATTAATTAATTATTTACAAAAATAATGCTGAAAAAAAAGTTATTACCGATCTAGTGCTAGCCTTAACCATGGTCAGGGGTAAGTCGTCCAACGGTTGGGCGACTTATAAGTCACCAAACGGTTTGGTGACTTATATGTCGTCCAACCGTTGGGCGACTTACCTTTTGTATATGAGCGAAGGCCAGCAGCCACTGCCAACCAGGCACGATCGTGCCTAAGTCTGAAAACAGCATTTTAGCAGGTTTTTCGCCCCGGTTCAACCCGGACTCATCTGTTTACTATAAATAAGGTCTCTCTTCTCCTGTTTAAGTGTCACGAGCCAGACACAACACATTATAAAACATACAACACACGTCTTCACAATCACATACATAACACCTACTCTCAACAACATAAAAAACACCTTGTAAATACCCTTTACAAATCAAATACAAAACATTACATTCATAACCGGTATAACACAGTACAATCATCCAATATTCATAACAAGTAATCATCTAATATTCATACTCGAACACATCAAGACAACATACAAGACTTTACAAGAGAAAATACGTCAAATGTTGTAAATTGTTCCTACAACATCTACTGTATAAGAAAAACTGCAATACAAAAGACAAACTACAAGTTCCCATCGTCAGCTTCGTCATGGAGATGTTGTTGCTCATGTCTACGCTTACGCCGTTGTCGTGGTTGAAGAACCATTCTCTCATGCTGCGTCTGGGATGATGAAGCCGCCGTTGCACTAGACGTGGATGGCATCTCCTGAGATGGGGGCATGTGTATAAGATGACCGTAGTCGACTCGCCCCAACACATCTGGACACAAGGAGGCAATGCCTGTCAGAGCCTGTCCATACATGTCCACATCATGACTATCAGTCACTGTGGCAGTAGCCCGCTGATGTATGCGCTGCAAAGCTCGTGTCTGAAATATGAAACACAATTACAATTACATAGAAATACATACAAATATTACATAAATAAAATGACTTACTTTACTACTTACTAATATACTCACCGTAAGATGCAAAGCCAAGGAGCTAGGCTGATAATGATGAGTAGGGAGTCTGAACGAAGGAGACACAAACAAACGAGTGATGCTGTAATACCATCCCATGTAGTCTCCTGAAACAGATGGGACAAATGTCGGTGTCCCAGCTACAACTAGCTCAGCTCGCCTTTCCCACGTAGTGACGTATCGCAACACTCTATCAGGCAAATGAAGCTCAACAATGTCAAAGCATATCAACGGCACACGTGCTCGCCATATGTGAGTATGCTCTCGTCCAGCTGGGGGCAACTCTGCTAACATCTCAGGTGTAAACGACATCCATGTAATCTGTTTCATAAAGATACAAAATTAGGAGATTTTATATACATATTATAGTTAATGATATATTACCCACACCATACCTGGTCCTCAGACATCCGATCAAATGCATCCTTGTACACACCGAGCCCAGTAGCGGATGACATGCGAGATAGACCAGCATATAGCCATCTAACCATTCATGTAACAGTATCATTAATATGGATATTATTAATATATTTACATTCAACATACAATCACATAAATACCAACGATTGAAAACATACCGACGGCCTAGAGGGTCCTCGCCCCGTACATGATGTGGTCCTAGAAGACGTGGAGGCTCATCGGGCAGTGGGTGTCCATCAATGCCATGATATGCGACTATAAGGGGACGCCCAATGTGGATATACTCCCATGACCAAATCTGGAGGAGTAGCAAAAATCCCCCAAGCTCTGTGCTCCCTCTCTGGCAGCCGCGACAAAGCTGTCTGTACAGATAAGCCAGCGTGGAGATCATACATTCTAGTAAACCTTTTCTCACCTGATCCACTCATCCACGCATCCGTAAAGCCTTCAGGGAGATCATACATTCTAGTAAAGTGGCTAGACGGGGCAGTTGCCGTGATAGTATCACCATCATCTTCATCAGATTCTGTCATGTCATCACCATTGATGTTCTCGTCAGCATCATCATCACGTCCCTGCCCATCCACAAATGATGCACCGTTGTGCAAATACCTACCATCTTCCTGTATAACCATGTCCAGTACAAGAGCCTTTGAGGAGTTCCCTGCATTGACATCATGCGTAGATACAACAACATTTGATGTTGATTGAGTACCATAAACGTCACAGGATTCCTCAATGTATATCTCAAGCGTCGACATATCCTCCATCTGAGTTATGCCCCACATATTTGTTATAGCTAGCTCATCAATGAGGAGCATAAGCATTTACTTTCCCCCGTTCATGGGAAATTTCATTTTCAAACGCAAAGAATGGCTAGGATGAATCATTGTGGCTGCATGTATTTTTTGAAGGATCTCGAGCATGCAAGCGCCACGAGAAACAATGACAAAGCAGGTTCTACCACCTTCATGGCATATTTGTCCAGCATCCTCATAATAGTTCCCTCCCCAATGACACACGATTGGGAAGCTTGAGAAATCCATATTCTAATAACAATTCATTGTCCAACATTCATGAGTAGGCATCAATATACACACTTTATACACATTCAAATTTTCAATAGAAAAGCTACCAAAATTGTAATATATCCAAAAGTCAAAATTCACAAACAATTCACATTTAAATATGAAACTATCCAAATTTTTATATCTACATTCATTGCTACATTTCAATACCCAAATTTACCTACATTCAAGTCCACCCAAATGCCCAAATGTAAAAATGCACATTAAAATTTACAATCAATTTAAAACCAAATTTCAACATTTCATACATATCCACATTTCACAACAACTGAATTCACAATCAATTAATAATCTAAAATTTCGAAAATTTTAACATTCAAAACCCTAAGTTCAAAATGAGATGAAATGGAGTTTAATTTACCTAGAAGAAGGAAGAAAGAGTGTTGAAGAAGAAGATAAAGGTTTGCCGGAGTGGGGTCGCCGGAGATGGAGGTTCGCCGGAGTTGGAAATGGTCTCGGTCGTCTTCGTCGCTCGTCTGTCGTCGCTGCGCCTTGGGGGAATTTGGGGATGGAAGTTCACGAAGTGTTCTGTTTGGGGCGAGACCCGTTTTTACTTAAGGAAAAGTCGCCCAATGGTTGGGCGACTTATAAGTCGCCCAACCGTTGGGCGGCTTACCCCGACCATGGTTAACCCAACAGTATTTTGGTAAATACTTTTAACCCAACCCTATTTTCGTAATTAATTAATTAATTAACATTAATACGGAAAAAATCTCCCTTAAACTATCATCACCATATCGTTTTGGTCCTTCAACTAATAAATCTATCACCTTAGTCCCTATTCTATTTAATGCATCTTAATTTGGTCCTTCGGTTAGTTTTGGTCGTTTCCATTCACGTGGTCAAACATACACTATTTTATAAATTATTATAAGACCCATCTTTAACTAAATAATTTCCTTTTTGCCAAAAAAAAACTGAATAATTCCCTTGTTGATAAATATTAACCTTAATCAAACATATTTTTAAATATTAATATGTTGCCCTTACTTAACAACCAATTGCTCAAATATATATATTATGTAGTATTAAATACTACTCCATATGTATTAAAACGTTTTTGTTAAGAATACTCAGCTGGGTAATAATTTTAAATTTTAATAATAATAATTATAATAACTTTTATGTTATTAATATTATTAATAATAATAGTAATAATAATATAACTAATAATAACTGAAATCCTTAATTTTTATCAAATTTGATTCTGGTTTTTGCGACTCTGTAATGCTTTTAATTTAGTTTCTGAATATGTAATTTTTTTTCTAAAAATAATATGAGTGCGGGCAAGAGTCTGTTCGATTTATCGTCGATCAAACATCGTAAATCATAAAGTGCCTTACAATTCGATACGGAGGGAGTAGTACATAATTTTTTTGTTAAATGACTCTAGTAGTAGTAAGAAGTGGGTTTGTATCATTTTCATTAAAAACAAAGTGATTTGTATAAGCTCTCACTTTCTATTTAATGAAAATGATACAAACCAACTTCTTACTACTACTAGAGTCATTTAACAAAAAAAATGTACTACTCCCTCCGTATCGAATTGTAAGGCACTTTACGATTTACGATGTTTGATCGACGATAAATCAAACAGACCCTTGTCTGCACTCAAATTATTTTTAGAAAAAAAAAGAATTACATATTCAGAAACTAAATTAAAAGCATTATAGAGTCGCATAAAAAAAGAATCAAATTTAATAAAAATTAAGGATTGTAGTTATTATTAGTTATATTATTATTATTATTATTATTATTATTATTATTATTATTATTATTAACATAACAATTATAATAATTATTATTATTAAAATTATTACCCTGAGTATTCTTAACAAAAACATTTTAATACATATGGAGTAGTATTTAATACTACGTAATATATTTGAGTAATTGGTTGTTGAGTAAGGGAAGCATATTAATATTTAAAAATATGTTTGATTATGGTTTATATTTATCAACAATGGAATTATTCTGTTTTTTTTTTGGCAAAAAAGGAAATTATTTAGTTAAAGATGGGTCTTATAACAATTTATAAAATATTGCATGTTTGACCACGTGAATGTAAACGGCCAAAACTAACAGAAGGACCAAATTAAGATGCATTAAATAGAATAGGGACTAAAGTGATATATTTATTAGTTGAAGGACCAAAACGATATGGTGATGATAGTTTGAGGACCATTTATGCATTTTACTCTAAAAAAACGAAAATGCTAAGTGTACATATAGTGTACACATATTGTACACACTATATAAAGGGTTTTAGTTTTTACCATTCCAATTGTAATTTTTTTACCCTTTTCTTCTCTCACTTTCTCTCGTTCCCCCCTCTC